TGAAATTTCAAAAGCATCGGGATAGAAAATGCCACTCTGTATTTGCTTTGGTCGTGAAACGAGAAAGAAATTCAAAACTTGAATTGGTATACCTGTGCATATACAACGTGATACAGATAATAGTATAAGTATAAAGTATTTTAACAATTTGTTACATTACATTTAGAAAGTAAAGCGTAAACTTTCATATTTCATCTCTACTCGTTTATAATGAATTATTTGAGAAAAACAACAGGTTTGAAAAAAAAAAGAAAAACAAAAGAAAATAATAATAATACATAATAATAATAATAATAATAATAATAATAATAATAATAATAATAATAATAATAGTAATAATAATAATAATAATAATAATAATAATAATAATAATAATAATAATAATAATAATAGTAATAATAATAATAATAATAATAATAATAATCGAATCAATAAGAGCTATAGGAGAAAGAAAGAAAAAAAAGAAATGTCAAATATTTCGAACATTTTCACATTGATAAAAAAAAAAAAAAAAAAAAAAAAAAACTGAAAAAAGAGAGAGAGAAAAAGAAAGAAAAACAATCGAGGAAAAAAAAGTCGAGGTAAAAATTTTCGAATGAATCGATTCACAGAGCTCACCCTGTATATAGAATGACCCACAAAAATGATTCTAGAAGTATATTCATATTCGAGGTCACGTTGTAGAGAAAAGGGAGTCACGCTGTTTCGGTGGCACGAAACGTTAACTTCCTGTAATCGTGTCGTTGCCTTTCGGGAACAATATTCGGTTTGCAAAATAATTTGAATAAAGCGACGACCCCAGCCTGTGCATGAGCTTGCTTGCTTGCTTGCTTGCTTTGCTTGGCTTGCTTATTTGCGTTAAACGCTCTTCTACCCACACGTTCCGGGTATGATATTAAAATTATTTTTAACCCTTAAAAGAGAGAGAAAGGGAGGGAGAGAGAGAGAGAGAGAGAGAGAAGATTCTGAAATTCACCCGTTTACCAACCGTGTATATATATGTATATATGTATGTATATATGTATGTATATATGTATTAAGTCTCTTGATCGTTGATACGTGCCAAGATATTCGCTAGAATCGATTCCAGAAAAAAAAAAGAAAAAGAAAGAAAATAACATTTTTACGATTATTATCTTTGAATATACTTTTTTTTGTGATTACCTTTAATTTCAGATAAGAACTATGTATAATCTTGCTATTTTATTTCTATCTTTATTAATCTTTCTACATGATGGAAAAGATATTTTCTTAGATTAAAAATTATTTCTTAGATCAAAAAAAAGTTATTTCTTAGATCTTTTTTCTCTTCAGATTGTAAAACGACAAGTTTAGGAACTGTGTTTGTAATTAAAGGGGGAGAAAAAAAAAAAAAAAAAAGAAGAAATATTAGTTTAAAAAATCTCTGAAAAAAATTAACTAATTCATAAAATCATCTAGAAACTTTTGACGTACCTTGTATTTAAGCATCTTTTTCTCTGCTCTCTCTGTCTTTATGTGCATTACAATTTTTAATGATAAATGAACAAACATTTTTAAATTAGACGATATTGACAAAGATAATTTATTATTCGTGCTGACTTATTTCTAACTATTTACTTTCCCACCGATATACGTAATGTATGCGTTTGTGTGTATGAATGTAGATATATTGGTATAAAGGTAAGAATAATAAACGTTCGCCGATAAGACATTCTCGCGAAATAATACAATAAAAAAAAAAAAAAAAAAAAAAAAAAGAAAAAATAGAAAGAAATAAAAAAAAAAGAAAAAGAAAAATGAAGAAGGAAAAAAAGAAGAGGAAAAAAAAATAAAAAGAACAAAATAAAAGGAAATTGTTCTCCGAGGGGAATTTAAAATTTACGAAGGCGATTGGCTCGTAGAGATGCGATTTGGATTAGGACTAGCTGAATTAACGTTCGTGGGACGCCGTAAAACGAGACCATCAGCACACCCTTCCTCCCCCTTTATCCTCTTCACCCTTGATCCTTGCTGGGGAGATAAACGACCACTTTTTATTTCTTCGCCATCTTAAAAAAAAAAAAAGAAAGAAAAAAAAAGGGAAAGAGAAAAAGAAAAAATACTCGTGGGAGAGCAGGAACTTGTAAATCTCTCTTCTTTTTTAGCCCCTTTTTTTCTCTCTTCTTCTTTATTCTTCTCCCTTTTTTTTTCTTTTCTTTTCTTGTTTGTTTTGTTTTGTTTTGTTTTTTCTTTTTCTTTTTCTTTTTCTTTTTTTTTTCGTTATTATTTTTCTTGGAGTAGATATTTCTACGCCGACGATTCATCTTTTATTATTTCTATCTCTCTCTCTCTCTTTCCCTCCCTTTATATATATATATATATATATATATATATATATATTATTTTTCTTCATTTATTTTTTTGTTCATTTTAAATCCTTTTCATCTCATTTCCTTTATTTGTTTTATTTATTAATTTTTTTCCTTTATTTTTCATTGAATAAGTCGATTGTCTTTATGAAAGAAAGTAAACGACGCAAAAGAGCGAGTGAGATAAAGAAGCAGAAAAAAAGAGAAAAACAAAAAGGAGAGAAGAAAAGAAAGAAAAAAGAAATAGAAGAAGGGTTCGTATATATAAGGGTCGATAGAATATTTTTTGCAAACGTTTACAGAATATATATATATATATATATATATATATATATATATATATATTCACATGACGTTTATTACGAGTACATACCTAGTAGTCAACCGGTAGAGGAAAATTGCTCGGTGCTAAGGGAAAAATCCACTTTGTACGAAGATAAATTAAATGCAAAGGGGGATAAAATTAAGGGGGTGAAAATTTGCGTCAGGATTTGAGACTGGTTCGTTGGTTGACTGGTTGGGGTTGGTGGTTGTTGGATCGTGGTAGTTGCTGGCGTTTCGCATATGGTTGAATCGTTCAATTTTTACAAAGAAACGTAATTTTCTATCGTCTCTAATAAAGAGAGAAACGTTTAATGGAAAATAACGAGGAAATGGTAGCCGTCTCTTCCTTTGGTAATCGTGCGAGTCATTCCAATTTTAAATACGTAATCCCTTTTCCGGATCGAATACAGTAAGCCTCTTATCCGCCACCGTTGCAACTTTCAACATTTTTCCGCTGCTTTTACCATCCTAGGTGTACATCGCCCTACGAAAGTTCCTTCAACGTTTCCCTCTTATTGCAATTAAAGTGAGAGCGTTCCAAATGCATATCGTCGTTCGAAGTAATCGTCCTCTCTCTCTCTCTCTCTCTTTCCCTTTTTTTTTTCTCATTTAAAGGCTCAGGAAAGCTACCCTTTTATTTTTATATCGTTCTTTCATTTCTACCAGTTCACAGAATTAGTTTCATAACAACATTCAATATATATAACATATATATTTGTCGAGTCCTCTCATGTCTGTTATTAGTATTAATATTAAAAAAACATTTCTCGACATGATTTTTTAATATAATTATTGTAACTATTTTTATAAAATCAGTAGGGATAAGTTAAATGTATATAAAAATGTTTGTATTAAAAAAAAAAAAGAAAACAAAAAAAGAAGAAAAAGTAGAAGAAAAGAATAGATAGACAATGTTATTTTATATAATGTCTCGAAGAAGGAACTTTTGCACGAGATTGTACATCCAATCCTTAAATCGACGTTACAGTGAATCTCGTTACCGTGGATTTTAAATACCTAATACCATCGCATAATCCGATCGATATCGGACCATTTCTTTTGATCTCGGGTAACTATATATCTATATATATCTATATATATCTATATATATATATAGATATATATATTCGTTGATATATTCGTATAACATAGATATATTCGTTGGAAATGAAATTTGTAACATTTATTTAGTAGAAAATTTTTGAGAAGTTAGTTAAAATATCGTTTAATCTTGCGAACGTAAAATCATGTTCTTTTATTATTCAACTTAAAACTTAAAATGTCGTCGATAAATGTGTATATGTATATATACACATATATATAATATATATATATATACGTTGGATATTATTAATAGTGTATTATTAACAAGCGGTAACTCGATAGGAAAGCCACTATTATTTTAGATGGGAAGCGATGAATATATACTTACTTACGTATATATTGTATGCACATATACATACATTCGATTTCATTATCCTTTGAAATCACAAATTACATGTTGTTAGTGTGCAAGGATGTGTCCCGTTTATTAATAACCGAACTCTAGCAAAGGTAACTTAATATACGCTTGTAAACGTACGAACCAAGAACGACGCGATCTCTGAAGAGGAAAAGGAAGTAGTAGTTACGTAGTACGATAAAGCGTCTTCTTCGATGTCTTGACTTCCGGTTAACGACGATCATTGGAACAAGTCAAAGAACCAAGTTACCTATCCTTTCTAACTCATATATCCACTTCCTTCGACCTAGATGACACAATTTAATTAAACTTTCTCTACCTCGCACAGGCAATTTCCGTTTTTCGCTATTTCGTTATACTAGGTTTCAACGTTTAAGAGTGAGAGAGAGAGAGAGAGAGAGAGATTATTTCCTGATCATTATCACTATATCGAGACTATACAGAGTAAATTCTCTTTCTGCAATATGAACATAGTTTTTCGAATTGCCTTTGACAGTTCTTATATTACACTTTACATTATAATTATGTGTATATATATATATATATATACATACATAAATAACAGTCAATCACCATTTGCAATCGTAATATAGATTAAAAACTAGACGGATAGTTTTTGGCAAAGATAATTTTATTTGTGAACGAATACGTGGGTAGTAAATAATAATGATCATGAAGAAAGGAGAAATCGATCGTTATTAAGATAATCGATATCATTATAAAGTGCTTGAGAACGCACCGGGACGAGATATGGCCACGGTGCTGATCCTTCCGTCACGCTTTACCTTCCTCTAAATCATCGAAACGACGTGACGATGACATCTTTCTCGTATTGCCAGCCAATAATCGTTGAATCTCACGAAAGGTTCTACCTTTGGTTTCAGGTAATAAAAATGTCACCATGAAGAATGCTAATAAGCAGGAAGCAGAAAAGAAATAATAAACTGCGTAAGCACCGAGTATGTCGCCGATCACTTGATAAAGTTTAGACACTGCAAAACCAAGGACACCGTCGAACACAGTAACAATGGCACCTGCTATTCCCTTAACTTCCGTTGGGAAAAGTTCACCGATCAATGCATTAGGTAAAGTACCCAATCCTATTTGAAATGCTACTTGAAAGAGTATAACAACGACGACAGGAAGAAAATTAGCGGACGATACGTTGAATTTTTTAGCATCCAACATCAGGTATATCGCTAGAATGGCTAATGTGATCGATGAGCCTAATGTTGAAAATATAAGTAATGGTCGTCTTCCTGCACCTTCGACGGTTGCGGTTGAACACGCGCCTGATACCAAACCAACGGCTAATACCAATATAGTTGCAATGTTCGAATCAATGCCTACCGAGGCACGATTGAATAATACTTCTAAATATTGTATCGTACTGAAGTTACCGCTTAGTTGTTGAGCCGCTATCAAACCAAGGATTATACAGAGAGCTCGACTATTTGTTGGCAAGAGGATTAGTTTAACTTTATTCAGGACTGTTTTCAGACCATTTTCTTCTTTACCGTTGGTTACACCCGAGGAGGTGGAAGAAGAGACAACTTTGTTAATTCGATCGTCTCCTACCATCTTGTTATCCCTCGAGTCTTCGTTCGAGCCAGCTTGCAAAGCTAATTCCAATTCTCTTCTTGCCTCGTCGCGATCTCTTATACCTTTAAAAAAGGCCAACGATCGCGAAGCTTCGGCTTTGCGACCTCTAGCAGCTAAAAAATGTGGACTCTCGGGGAACCAGATGAATGTGAGGATGAATAAAAGTGGGATTGTTAATAGTACGACGACCAATGTACGATAAGAGATCCATGGACCAATGCTACAGGTCAGGAGTGACCCAGTGAAGACGTTAACCGCTATTAATGTTCCTAGAGCTCCACGAATGTTTACATCGGCCACTTCGGACACGTACATTGGATTGGTCGTGTAAGAAACGCCAACGCCAATACCCAAAATAACTCTGGCAGCGTACAGAGCCGAAACCGATGTTGCAAAAAATACAATGGTCCAGCCGGCGATGTAAAATCCGCTAGATAACAATAGACACCTCTTTCGGCCGTATCTATCAGCCAGATAGGCACCCAAAAATGGACCGATCATCGAACCAATGACGGTCAACGATACGATCCAAGATGATTCGTCTTCGGTTATCCTCATAGGTGCATCGCTGTCCTTTGACATCAACTTTGAAAGACTCGTCGTTGTCCAACCATAAACCGTTCCAACTGCTACCATCGATAGTGTCGCTGTAATTATCACGAATTTTCATCGTTTCCCATTAGGATTTTTCCACTTTTATACGTATATCTAATTCTTGTTTACGTCATGCGTGATAACCATGCGTGACACTCCGTTAGACGCGTATGTCATATAATTGTACTTGTGTGGATTGCGAGACGTTTAAATGAAGGCTGTTAACATTCGAGCATTAGCGTTGCCCGACTAAATTATCTTGATAAAAACTTGTACAGATGGAATCTGCTGAGTCAGTCACAGAAATATTCAGACGGGTTTTCAAATTTAATGACCTCTTTTAGATCGAGGGAAAAGTGTGCTCTGAATTTTTTAATGGACGTAAAAAACAATTACCGCGTTAAATAACGAATCAAATAAAAAAAAAAGTATATATATATATATATATTTTTATATTTTCAAAAGATCCATTTGTTTTAAATGTATATCATGTAAATATCTTTAAAATAAATAATAAAATTATTCTCCATTTTTTTCATTCTTCACGTAGTTTAACGTAGTAGCACATTAATTTTCCTCTCTCAAAAAGAAAAAGAAGAGAAAAAAAATTCAGAACACTTTTCTTATTCTAAGAAAAAAGTTATTCTAATTCATAAAGTCCATCCAAATCTATTTTCTGAATTTATTTACTTAATAAGGAATTCATTGTATTCTAATTTTCGATACATCGTTGTTAATTATAATTCCATTTAAATGCCTCGTTTTCTACCTAGAGATTTTTTCTAATTCATTGTATATACTTCTTTTCTTTTTTCTTTTTTGTATTTCAGAAAGAAAAAGTGAAAAAAAAAAAGGAAACTTATAACCAAACCTGAGATCGATGCTAGCCATTGTCTCCAGCGTGTTCTCTCCGATAGATTGGACTTTTCAATGCTTGTATGCTGCGATGTTTCACCTTTTGGAGCTTCTTTGGGTAGGTCGATCTGAGAAAAGAGAGAAATGAAAAAAGAAAAGAAAAAAAAAAAAAAAAAGAAAAAAAGAAACGAAAGGTTTCAAAAAGGAGAAGGAAAGAAAGAAAGAAAGAAGAAAAAAAAAGAGAAAAGGTCTTAGAGGAAATATCGATGACGTATCTTTAATCTAATCTACGAGCTGGTAAAATGCTTCTCTCTTTCCCGCATTTTTTTTCTTATCGTCATAAACAAACTCTCTTCGATCATCTCAATCACGTTTACGTGCACTCGCTTGCGCGTAAACTCTATGAAAATAACGAAGTACAACGATAAAGAAAGTACAATGTGCACCATTCGTGCAGGAAAATACATTTTTTCTTCATGAGAGTGTTTGTGTATATATATATATATATTTTATGTGTATATATATATATATATACATACAAAAAATACAACAAAAAAAAAAAAATATTTATATTCATAAGATAATGCATTTCAAATTGTTATATCATATTTTTTTTTGTTTAGATGTAAAAAAAGCAAATCTGTCAGATTTTTATCGTTTAATCGATTATTATCGTTATCCGATATATTATATACAGGGTGGTCCAATAATTATCATCACCATATCCCCAGAAAAAAGAATTTATTTAACAAAACTTATATTTATAAAATGATCTACACTATCTGTGATTCTTATAATTTCGATGATAAAAATTATTGGCCTATCCTATATATACTATATTTTTATTATATATATATATATATATATATATATATATATATATATATATATATACATATAAAAATATAGTACATTAAATATATATATATATATATAAAAAAAAGAGAATAAAAAGAAAAGTGTTTTGCAAGCATATACATGAGAAGATGATAGTAAAAGCACATCTTTATTGTTTTACAATGAAGTCTATGTAAGCACGAAGAAAATAACTTGATGGAAAAACACGTAAGTAGATAGAAGAAATGTTGTTATCCCGTAAAGACGAAGGCGCGCCCACGTATACATGCATGCAGTTTCTTAAAAGAATAAATTTGAAAACCACTGAGACGTAAAGCGACGAAAGAGGGGGAGGAAAGAAGGAAAAAAGGATACGTGCTAGGAGAAACTGTAAAATATATGAACAACGCGATACCGTTCTTACTGGTTTTGTAAAAGCATAGCTCCTTTCACACGATTCTCATGATATTATATATTCCACGTATAGACCGCTGTGTTTATTATATTTTCCATAGTTTGAAAAATTAATCTTACGAAAAGTCATTGTTTTTCGAGTGTCTTTCGGAAAAAAAATTGGTATGAAACGAAAAAGAAAAAGAAAAAAAAAATAAGGAGAGATGATATTTTTACCGAGGATGGAGAGCATCGGGATGAGGAACTCGTTGGTAGAAAGGCGAAATAAAAATTGAAGGATAACAGACTTTTCCACGTCACAAGTGATAAACTAGATCGCATTAGAGGCACTTTAAGGTAACGCGTACTTTCGAAGGGAACAGCAATTTCTTGCAGCACGTAACACAACGAAGCTGCTGCTGTTCGATGAAACCTTATAACTGTCGAGGCTTTTAGATAAGGGTGGAGGTCCTCCTCTGACGAGGGATGAGGAAGGGAAGGGAAAGGGCGCGTAAGGGATGAACAATCGATCGACGATAAATCACATCCCGCTCTCAAAGATTACTCTAAATATTAGTTCTCCCTTTTTTCTCGAATAATAATGATGCCCCAATGATGATTTTTTAAAGTAAAATGAGAGATATTTCTTATCGATATTACGAAGATAAAAAAAAATATATATATATATATATATATATATTTTTCAATTAATTTTATATATACGTCAAATTGATAATAAAATAATTATGATGATGTTATTAATAATATCAATATAAAATTTTATAAATATAAATTTGAAAATGTTAGATAAAATAGAGAGAATGGATTTATTAATACTATCGTCTAATTAATATATTAACTGTGATAATGGCATTATGAAAAATATAAATTTTTAATTAATAATTATAGGATGAAGAGAGAAAGAGAGAGAGAGAGAGAAATAAAGTGATAAGCTTTAACCTATTTGCAATATATCTATTTTTAAAAGAAGTATCTATCGATCGAAGCAGTATCATCATCAGGGACACACCGTAATATCTCTTTAAAATAAATTACATTTTTATAAGGGTAAAATCGAGATTATATATATATATGTATAGAGTGAGAGAGAGAGAGAGAGTCTCCCTTCATTCGAATAGGGGACTTCTATAATTAGGGTGACCGTATTCGCGTGAGGTTTTTGCCTTTTCGAGAGAGAGAGGGTAAACGAAAAGAATTTGAGAGTGCTATTGAAGCCACGGAATGAAGAAAAAACAGTTAAATTTAGTGGAAGACAGCCACGCCAAAAATAAAAAAAAAGAGAACAAAAATGAAAGGATAAAAAGTCATAGTCGAGGATGCGCCATTATAAATTTTTCTATTCACGGAAGATAGAAACGATCGACCATGTCTGTCTGTCTCTCTCTCTCGGAAAGGAAAGACGAGAAAAGCTGTATATATATATATATATCTATATAAAGAGAGAAAGAAAAAGAGAGATAGATTAAGGAAAAATAGGTAGAGAGAGAGATAGAGATAGAGAGAGAGAGAGAGAGAGAGAGAGAGAAAGAGAGAGAGAGAGAGAAAAAGAGAGAGAGAGAGAGAGAGAGATATTAAGAAAGAAAATTTCTAACGCGCAAGCGCGAACATTTGATGCGCCTGCGCACATTTTCAATTCGACCTCGCGGCATCGTTGTGTCTTCGAAAGTCTCGTGCTACCACGCGCCAAACATAACCTCTCGAGCAAACTCCAAA